TAAATCTTCAACTGCATAAATTTCGGTTGTAGCGCTTAAGATTTCAAGTGCCTCCTCGATAGTGCTTGAATGAGAAGCCTGACATTCTGCCTTGAAACATGAAACCGCCTCGGATAGCTCAATTCCGAGGGAAGAAGCACCAGATTTTCTTTTACCAACAACCTTTGGACGTTTGGAACGGGAAATTGTTTCATATTCATTCTGATCCGAGCTGGGGACGTCAATGAAATCAATTGAATCTGCGGGGGTTCCCAAATTCATGGCATTGCCAGTGAACCCTGTCTCGCTTGGGCTACATGCATAGGTCCCCGTTGCAACCACGCCTCCAAACATGCGATTGAGTTTCTCCTCAAATTCAGGTTCTATTCCAGAAAACTTAAACTTCTTTGCAGGGGGCCTACATGGAAATTGATGAACACCTAATTAATAATAAACATATGAAGATACAAAATTATAGTGTATAAAAAATTCTCACCGCAAGTCTGTCAGCCCACCATTCATCGGGTGCATCAACTGTTCATTTCACTGGATCCCAACCCAGACCCGTAGATCCCTTCTTTAATTCTTTCAATATTTTCCAATCTTTCTTCAGTTGATCCCACTCGTTCTTCATTTGCAATTTGTCGTACTCCCTGCCTGTATATTTCTTGAAACATCTGATAATATTTTGCCACCCTTCTTTATTTAAAAAAGGTCGTAGGTCTATTTTCCCGTTCAATCTCTTTAAGGCAAAGTTCACAAAATAGTATTTTTGTTTTTTTTCCCACAAAATCGGTGTATCAACCTCTTTAGATTTATTATTCATATTATGACTAAATCAAAACAAAGCCATGAAACATAAAATTAAAATCAATTACAAAGTAAAAAAATCAAATCAATCTTGTGCAAATATCAATTACTATACTTCTGTGCAACATATCAATGAGAGAAATATAAGAAATGTCCCATAAATGGGAAGCTCTCAAAAATAGAATATAGAATATGTCAAATTGTAGAAAAACATTGGTTATAATGTTAGTCCAAACAATTTATGATCCAATAAATGAGAAGCTCTGCTCTAGCAGAAAGAAAGAGAAAAAAAACTAGGCTTTGTACAAAAACTATTCAAATAGCAAAATTAAGGGTCTGTTTGGGGCAGCTACAGCTTATCCAACTTCTGCTGATAAGCAGCTTATCCTGATAATCTGCTGATGATCAGCTGATCCGGATAAGCTGTTCGGCTGTTTAGTTGACGCTTATGGAAAACAGCAGATTCTGAAAATTGATCATTCTGCCCCTGTTCTGAATAAGCAGTTTAGTTGTTTGGTTAGTGTGTTTTGTAAATAGTTTTTTTGGAATTATTTTTTTAATTAAATGAATAATCTGTGCAGCAGAATTTATTCTTTTCTCAATAAAATTAAAGATCACTGTTCAGAGAAGAAAATACCAAAAAGACCATTTATATTTATATAACTAAAACATATTCGATCACATCAAACGAATATGTTACACATACAAAAGTCAAATGCACCAGCACATACTACTACAAAATATAGTAAGAGCCCATAAAAAAGAAAAAATAACATGTTAAAATGACAAGTAAAAATATGATAATGTTAACTTTATGGATCCCCCGTCGCAGATTTAAAAACTCGATTGTCATGTGCACTGTCCTCCCAACTAGCCTTAACAAAAGTGAAACACAGATTGAAGTCACAAACGACCATGAAATTTTGGGTGGGGCTACTACAACGACCGATAAATGCAACCTTATCATTATTTGGGATACGTGCGTCAACATGTGTTCCATCAATCGCGTCGATGCAGTCCTATTTGAGTTCATGTTAGTATCGACATATCATTGGAAACTCTAACAAAATTAACTATATTGCATTTGATTGAATACCTTGAAGAAGGGCATATATCGCGCATCCTTCGATATCTCAGCAGGTGTTTGCTCGAACTTATAATCTATGGGTCTAATGACATGATAGGACATGCTAACAAGTGCGCTCAAACCAATTGAGAAGTACCTGCTTATTGTTTCGATGAGTGCTGAAACCGCTTCATCGCTCCTCGCATTAACTCATTGTGGGATAATATAAATAGTGTTATTGCGAGCACCTCACGTGGAGTGGTCTTCAAAGATTCATGAAGATCGTGAGCTCCTACGAGTAATTCCAGGAGATCGATAAATATTGTCTTTCTCATTCGAAACATATTATAAATTTCTCAATGAATCGAGTACAAGCCGGGGCTTTGAACAGAGACAAGAGCGAGAGGAGAATCTACGGTCACGGGAGAGGCGAAGGAAAAAGCAAGGTCACGGGAGCGCCCTCGATGGGCAATATGCGTAAATTGGAATCCGAAAACGTTATCTCACGGTCCGCGTCTTTTGCAATTTAGAAAACGCAGTTTTAAATAATCTCTTCATAAGTGGGTACCAAACAGTGAGGCTGTATTTTCAAAACGCCGCCCGCACTTTAATTCTGTGCAACATATCAATGGTAGAAATATAAGAAATGTCCATGAGTGCAAATTTCAACTGGAATCAGGCATGAAAGAAATCAGGCATGAAAGGTCTGTGAAACTAATAAGAGTTATCAAGGATAAAACATATTGTAGAGAAGGTAGATGGGATAAAATCACAATCATGCTAGCAATCCAATACCATTTAAATTATAAAAAAAAAGATAAAATAAATACATAAACAAGATAAAATAAATACAAAAACCAAAGACTTGTCCTGTTTAGCGGATCCATATGTACCAAAGAACTATAGAGAGAATATATCTAGCACTCTATCATGCAAGTTTGATAAATTTTGAAATTAGAGTAAGAATCATAAGTTCTAGTTCATGCAAGTATATATCTAATATTTTCTTTTGATGTTAATTGCAGTTGTTATTCATCCATTTTGCAGAGCACATCGTCTAAATAAAAGAACAACAACAAAATATGGGATAAAAAATTGGGAGAAGACATATCTGCTTCAATGAGGTTTCGGTTTTGAGCGGGGCAGAACGAGGCAAGCTGCTTCGATCAGCACAAAACACCCGAGCGACGGCGGTGGAAGGCGAGCAGCGGCCGGGCCAAAAGGGGGGGGGGGAGGGAGGAAGCAACGAGCAGGGGCTTCGAGCGAGATGATTGAGAGGGCCGATCGAGCAAGAAGGGGTGGTTTCCCGAACAGGAGGAGGAGAAGGGGAGTCTTCGCGAAGGGAGCAACGAGCTGGGGCTTGGGAACGGGACAAGCGAGCGGGGCGATGGTTTCCCGAACAGTGGGAGGAGAAGGGGGAGTCTTCGCGAAGGGAGGAAGGAGCAGGGGCTTCGAGCGAGACAATTGAGAGGGCCGATCGAGCAAGAAGGGGTGGTTTCCCGAACAGGAGGAGGAGAAGGGGAGTCTTCGCGAAGGGAGCAACGAGCAGGGGCTTCAGAGCAGGACAATCGAGCGGGGCGACGGTTTCCCGAACAGTGGGAGGAGAAAGGGGAGTCTTCGCGAAGGGATGAAGAAGCGGCGGTTTCCCTAATTGGGTTAGGGTTCCTTGCGGGGATTTGGAGCGGGGCAAGCGAGCGGGGACTTGGGGCGGGGCAAACGAGCGGGGCAAAGGAGCCTTTACTGCACGAGAAAGCCAGGCCACGGGGTCGGCCAGCTTTCTTCCTTTTTAGCGGCAATCGACCGCTGCCGCGGAAGAAAAGCACGCAAAAATTTTTTTAACTTTCCGGTTTGGGGCCGCGACGCTCGAAAAACGCGGCCCCAAATAGAGCCTGAGTCTCTTCTTCGACATCTCAGGCGCAAGAGGAGCTACAACATTTTCTTGAAAAAAACATTCCACTTCTCCAACTGCGCAACCATCATTCTAAAATGTTTTTGTCAAATTTGTTAATATTGTGGCTTTGATCCAAGTGATAGAATAAGTATCTAACATATTCATTAACCATTGAACGACAAAGCTTTCATATTAGATGCAATTTTGGCGTCATGCACCCACGTTGGCATCTAATGTAAGAGAGAAGTGAATTAAACATCATCAAAGAATGTAAGTACAATTTTACTTTTTGCAAATTAAACTAATGATGTTTTTATCTAATATGAAAGATTTGTGGTATAAGTATAAAAATAAAAGTATGGGCGTTAGATATGTAAATATATAGAAATTCAGCGGGATACATGTTAATGGCTCTACTTAATAAAAGTTGAAAAATTACATGGTTCCTTAACACTAATAGATCCAATACAACAATATGTACACAATAAAAGACTAAAATCCAACCATCACTGCATCTAAAGGGCGCACTCACATACATGCCCCACAATTTTTATGCATTTATATATCTAGCTCTTAAACTTTCCTATTTACATCTATAGCACTCAAATATTTATCATATAAAAAATAACACCATTACCTCAAAATGTTATAAATGCAAATATGAAAGTTTAGGAGCTAGATATGTGAATACATAAAAATTGTGTGGTATGCATGTAAATTTTTCTAAAAAATAATGAATGAGCAAAATTGTAATAACCGTGCGCCTGAAACCAATCATACATGTCAATGAGCAAGTAACAAATTAATATCACATCTGCGTAGAACAACATTACAATCATTTAATTAATTCATTTTCCAAAATACATTTTGTAAACACAAGCAAATGAAATGCTAGCAGAAAATAACAACAGAAGGTTATGCATTTACATACCAAACACCCAAACATTCATATTTACATGTATACCACTCATATCTTTTAACATCACGTAAAAAAATATCACCATCGGTGACTTTTTTAGAAGTGAAATACAGTTTGTTCATGCATAAGTTTATAGCACCAGTGGGGTAAAAATGTAAATATCAAACAATGGGAGTGAGATATGCAAAGAATTGTGGCATAAATTTAAATTTTCCATAGGGAGTAATTACATGCACACCGCCCTAAACATTGATATTTACAAAATAACCACCAAGCCAACAACAAAAAAATTAAGGATGAGGCTAAGGATGATGAGGAAAAGAAATATAGGGAAAGGAGAGGGAGTACTTTTGGATGGCAAATTGAGTAATAGATGTGGTCAATGTGCTATAACATTACAATACAATTCTACCTACAAGAATACAAGCAACAAAGCATAGCTAGCTTGAAGCGAGACAGTACATTCTTGAAGGTTTACGATCCAAATTTCATTCAAAACGTAAATAACTTCCTCCAATATAGTAAGTGATATCTTCATATCTTCCCCTTATGCAGATGACATTCATTCACCGCACTTATTCCAAGTTTTTTGACGACTGCCTAGCTGATCTCATTACAGTTGAACTGAGTATGACTGGGCCTGTCAGACAAGGAGCAATAAAAAGAAGGCAATAGATGGTCGGGCGGTATATCCCAAAGAGCTCGGTGGCTTTTTCTTCTGGCATTCCTTCATCGCCCTTTGGGCCATTGCATGGACTTCTCCTGAGAAGGTCTGGAAGTAGCTTTAGAGCGTTGCAGAGAAAATGGTGGAATTGCCTGGCTATGGAGCGGGCCTTCTCTTTCGTCGGCAATTCTTTCGGTTTCCTTTTTCTCCAAGTCTATGGAGAAAAAGGAAACCGAAAGAATTGCCGACGAAAGACAAGGCCCGCCCCATAGCAGGTAGTTCTACCATTTTCTCTGCAACGCCGTAAAACTACTTCCAGACCTTCTCAGGAGAAGTCCATGCAATGGCCCGAAGGGCATGCTCGAAGAAAAGGCCACAGAGCTCTTTGGAATTTACCAACTTCATCGCCCTTTGGGTCATTGCATGAACTTCTCTTGAGAAGGTCTGGAAGTAGCTTTAGAGCGTTGCAGAGAAAATGGTAGAATTGTCTGGCTATGGAGCGGGTCTTCTCTTTCTCGGACAATTCTTTCGGTTTCCTTTTTCTCCAAGTCTATGGAGAAAAAGGAAACCGAAAGAATTGCCGACAAAAGACAAGGTCCGCCCCATAGTAGGCAGTGGCAGTTCCACCATTTTCTCTACAATGTCGTAAAGCTACTTCTAGACCTTCTCAGGAGAAGTCCATGCAATGGCCCAAAGGGCATGCTCGAAGAAAAGACCACAGAGCTCTTTGGGACTTACCGACTGACCATCCATTGTCTTCTCTGTATCGCTCCTTGCCTCACAGGTCAGACATATTCAGTTCAACTTCAATGGGGTCAGCTAGTCCGTCATTTAGCATGTCAGCAAGAAATTCTGATGTTATTTTCCTGTAAAAGCTTCCGAGCAATGTTAAATTCTTATTCTGCTAAATCTCAGAACCTTCTTACAATATAACTGACCTGGAGAATAAAAACAACCAAAAAAAGTTGGTCAAAACAACCAATATTTCATTGGATTTCAAACAAACGAATCAAATGAAGAATGCATGGCAAATACCTATAGCACAATTGAATGCAATTTGAAAATGTGGTACAGACCGTAAAAAGGAAAATATTTTTCCAACAAGTAAAAGTCTTTCCGCATGAGCCCCGTCTCCTATTTCTTCATGGAAAATCCAACCTGAAAAAAAAAGAAATGAATCCTATGCGGATGTTATAAGTGAAAAAAAAAAAAAAATCATAATATGTAATAGACCTACAAAATACTTTCAAAATAGCAACCAAGAATGATCCAGGGCCTAAGAAAACATCTTTCCAGGTTAATTATGTTTCGCCAAACATCACTGATAGCTGATCCAAGTAGCTCAAGACAAAGATGATCCTGTTCACCATTGATTTTTATTGAAGATTCTGGTAGTTCTATAGGTCTTTTGTTGGACACGTTAAACTTTTTTCCGTAAGACTTTATAACTTATTAGATGTAAAGCCACTTTAGCATATGAAAGTCTCTATTACACAAATTATCTCTGTTAAAGGTGACAAATTTAACAATTTATTAATATTTTTTTAATGTTCAATATTAAACTAGATAGAACAATCATGCTACACAATGGAGGACAATAAAAAAAATAACTTTTGGGAAAAATCCACTAGAAGTCAATAGCAGTAAAAGCTGACAGACGGAGGTAGAAATGTAACCAGATTTAACTAAAGCTACATTGTCAAATGTATTTGTAAAGATTGCTTACTTCAACTACTCTTCTACCTGCAAAAAATCTTTCAGCCAAACTGTAGTATATATGTCCAACAAAAAAAGCATTTTCATTCTTTGCAGAAACCTTAAACCAAAATAAGTACAAATATTACTAAGAAATATCAACATGTCATTCCGAAGCATAAAAAAAACATAAGCTTTAAATTTAGCAAAGAATCTGACATCTAAAAGAAGTGATGACACAGCCCCGTTAACTCCCCTCACCGTCAGTTTAAAGTTATAGAAAAAGAGGACAAAAAATACTAAACAATTTCCTTAACCAGAACAAGGTCATAGCCATGACTTTCTCATTCTCATGCATACGATCACAAAATTAATCATCATGAACATAGCTAACAATTGTAGAGTTGCATTTCAGGAGGCATGCGAAATAATTCCCATAATTCTCTGAATAAATGTGTCAACATTTCTTGCATCACTAAGAAACATGACATAGATTTTAAAATCTCCAAACCTATAAATTTGTTAAAATCACCTCAACAAACATGGCATTGTCTGCTTTTAAAAGTTCCAAACTTTTTTTTTTTTTTTTTTTTGGTAAAATGGGCCAAATTTTTTCTAAGTTAATATGAGCCCGACCTTTGAAAGGCTCTTAATAATTTTACCAACATGACTCAATTTTGTTTCAATATTTATATATCTCTTTCAAAACTCATCTAAAAAATGAGCTAATCTTGACTAAATTTTTTTAATTATTGAGATTCATAATCAATTTTGATGGTAGACCTGGCACTAAATTTTTGTACTCAAAATTTATTTTATCTCCTTCCTCTAAATATCGCTGTTAGACACCGTAAACATGTTAGTTGAACTCGTTAACATGAAATCACTTTTTGATGTTAAATCGTATAAATTAAAGCACTTTTTGATGTAATGATTGGAGCTTTGTTGAGAACTCCAAAGTTAAATGTGTCATGTTGAAGCCCGCACCCACCTAAAATGGGCAACCTTCAATGAAGTTACGTATAAGACAAAATCATGAACTCTATCAGGCAAAAGTGAACAATATCTCAATGGATGAGAATTGAAATTGTTGATAATTATACCAAGGAAATAATTCAATCAAAAGACGAGAATTACATGTCAAAAAACAACACCGTGGGAGCCACTTCTCTAATTTATTTGAGACAAAGTGCTACATTGTGGAATCTATAACTTGAACATACAAAAGCCACCTCTCAAACCTTATGTCGAATGTGATGTTGTAATCGAACCGAGACTCTATCATAATTTGGACTCGGCTTGTCACAATTATAAGTTGTTCATGACGGTTTGAGCTTGTGTCGAGTTGTCACATATTGTTCAAGCTTGACCTGTTTAAATTTTTCAATGTCTAAACTTGATTTGTACTTAATTTGCTTATGACAAGTGAACGAGTATCTAAACAAGTTAAAAAATAAGCTAAAATTTCAAATGAATATCTAGATTTTCATATAAAAATATAATAAATAATATTATAAATCTAAACAAATAACAAATTGAATGAATCATATAAGCAAATGAACTAATCTAAATGTCGTCAACTACGGTCTATAATATATATATTCTCACAAGAATGAATTCTAAGATAGAGAAAAAAACATTGAAAAAAGAGCAAATAAATTTAAAGGAAATAGTATTACAAAGTAACTCATAATGTGAAATCATTCATCAATTGTAGAAATAATTTAGAAAAAACAAAGACAACATGATCAAGCATAATAAAAAATAATCAACAAAACTGTTGTTCACTTTCAAAATTCTATCATGTTAATTTTCAACGCTAGTCTAATGGACCGTCTCTAGTGAGGACGTTAAATCGTTAGACTATGACACCCCTTATGTATAGAGAAATTGAGCTCTTAAACACTGAGAAGCCTCATAATGTCATGATAGAATTTTATTAGGAACCCCAGAGTTGAGCAAGCTAGTGTTGGAGCACTTCTATGATGAGAAGCTTCCTAGGAAGTTGCATTAACATAGTGAGGCTTGTCAAGCCAAAGCATTAATATATCGATAGAATGAAGTTTCGGCTACTAAAAGCTCTACGAGCAGACAATGTAGTGAAAGATAAATCGACCTTATCAACTGCATTAACATTTCACTTATTGTGCGCCCTATTTTAGAATAAAACTCTAATAATGATGTCATTCACAAAAATTAATATACTTTTAAAGGCATTGAAGTATTTAGCATTTCAGCAGGATGCATCACAACAATAAGAGTACTCGAAGAAACAAGACTCTCTTAATTTTGGTACATTTGATGCATTACATTTTTACAATATGGATTTTTTAATATAAGCCAATGATAGGATGCATTAAAAAGAGTAGCTAAAGATCAAACTTTTTAATCCGCAAAAAATAACAACAACAAGAAGCCTTTATCCCACTAAGTTGGGTCAGCTATATGAATCCTTTTTCTCCATTGCGTCCTATTGAGTGTCATTATTTCATTTAATTCTAATAAATTAAGATCATTTTTTATACAATAAGCCCAAGTCTTTCTATGTCTACCTCTGCCTTTCTTAACATAGGTTGAATCTAAAGCATCTACTCTCCTGACCGGATCATCAAATATTAGACGTTAAACACTTGAGCAAAATAAAAAATAAATGCATAAAGCTCACTAGCAATAATTTAAATATCATCAAACTCTAAAATTCACAACAGATCTAAATAACAAACAATAACCAATAAGAGATCAAGGATTATATCGCTAAAATAGAAAATCAGATTGTAGCAATCTTAAAAAAAAGAATCTCAAGCCAGAATGAAAAAAAAAATGTGCATAGATAAAAAAATAATTCAAATAGAGATCATTAAAAAGGACCATCACACTAATATGAGAAGCAGCATCACCTCCAATAATATAATCATGAACTTATTGTCAATTTCAATAACATACTCAAAGAATTCACCTTCAATAGCATACATACTGCTAATAATTAAAACTAGACCACAATTGGACATTTCCAATAGTCTCAAGTTTATAAATACATTCCTCATAAAGAAACAAATCGAAAACATCATTATAGTCTTTATAAAGAATAAGAAGGATTCTAGCAACTATTAATACCAGTGCAGAACATATAAAAATTGTAGTAGTAGCAAAAGCTAACATACTTAAAAAAACATATTAAAAAATTGAGATTGTAATAGTACTTATTTGATCAAGCACGCTCATGAAGTGAAGCATACACATAAAAATCAATTTGTTGCTCGAATTAACATAAGTTAGATAATCGCTAGTCAATAGGTTTCCTAAGGTAGCTTAGATTATCCTATCGGCAATATCATTCAAGCATGACCTCACCATGAGGTGATATTCTCAGTCTCATGATCCTATTACATTTTATAGATTATGATGATCATAAATTACACTAAGGAACAAAAGATTAAAGGTTTTTTAAATTAATTTATTAGAAATAATAAATATATGAAATAATTCTGAATTAATATAGAAAAATACCATGTCATTCAAGTGTAAAAGCCACTAAAAATACCAAAAGCAAGTAGGTGAGATTTAATTAATACTTAGTTAATGAAAGTTAGAAAACACCTGAATTGAGATATTGACAATTGTTTTTTATTGAATCAAAAGATGTTTAAATATTATCTAAAACATAAAAAAAATAGTTTACTAAATAAAGAAATTAAAAGATATTTTAGTTTCATAACAATAAATTTAATAAAAATAAAAAAAGTATAACAAGCCTTCGCAAAGTAATTACAGGTTAAGATAAAGTGTTGCAATGTTGTAAAAAATTTCCAAAAATTCATATCTCGAAAAATAATTATAAAAGTTCTCAGCAAAGTATTGCAGTTTTCTGCAAAGTACTCTGCAGAATCTATAATCTTTTACAAGGCATTAAAAAAGTCAAAAAAAAAAAAAAAAAAACTCATACTGTCATTTCTAACCATTGGAATTCAAATTACATTTGAAATTCCCAGGATTACAAAGATATTATAGCTTAGAGAAACATGAAAAAAATTAATTAAATTAGTTATAATGATTTGCCGATAAAAACTAAAATCCTAACCACCTATGATAAAAACAATTATAAGGACTTATGCAACTAATATCTCTCAAAGGAATTCTCTCTCCTCTCCCTAGCAACCACGAAGTATTCATCAAAGATTTTTTTTCTAAGTAAAGCTAAATCTAAAGGAATAGGAGATTGTTTGCTTGTTCAAGGTGATATTTTCTAATATTTTGGTAAAGGTTTAAGATTGACTCATTCACAAGGTAAAATTCATGTCAAAGAACCCAACACATATTATTAAATTTTTTATTGATTTATTATATATGATTATTTGAGTGTTTATAGGAGAATGTAGAGAACAGTATTTTTAACCCAAAAAAAAAAGAGAGTTTGTCATGATGCACAAGAGATAATCTTAAGATAAAATGAGATGCAAATGCTTCCCAACCTTATAAAGGAGTAATATTTTTGTTTTGGTACAAAATATTTATGTTTTGGTGCAAATACTACAACATTGTTGACACCTAGACATAGATGTAAATTTTAACTGGTCCACGTAGAAATCATTATGTGTTTACATGGTATCTTCCATTTAAATTTGTGTTTAATGTTTCAACCTTCATATCTTACACGTGTCTAACTTGTTTTTGAAATTTAATTTTATTACATGTTTCTCATTTAATATTCTAAACTTACTATTATATCAATTATAGTCGAAAAATCAATTAAAATCACAAAACTTTTGCACATAAAATTTAATTTCAAACATCCTACAAGTACAATTCACGCACCCTTCTGATAAATTTAATTGGTTGTCACCAGTAGCATTCACCATCATTGTGATTAGTTCAGCCATTGCCACCACCACTGGGGTTGTGTTGCCACCACCTATAGGTAGGTCGTAACTCTGGCCGCCATAGCCATCACTTTTTATTTAATATCTATTTTTGTTAAGATAAACATTAATTGCAGTTTATCATCATAACTATTAAGCAGGTCACGATCCTCGTCACATAGCCAACGCTCTTGACCTAACAATTATTATTCTTATTATCAGCATAAACTGAAATTTACCATCATAATTACTAGAGTGCTCACAACAACATCCATACCTTTTCATGACATCTTATTAATGCCACTAACGGGCCAAAGGAGAGACATTATTTGAGTGTTTTAAAGGAAAGGAGAAGGTAGAGAAAAGTGCTCTTAACAAAAAAGAAAATCAGGAGTATATCATGATGCACAAGAGATAATCTTAAAATAAAATGAGATGCAAATGCTTCCCCACCTTATAAAGGAGTAATTTTTTTTGTTTTCGTACAAAAAAATTATGTTTTGGTGCAAATATTACAACATAGTTGACACCTAGACATAGATGTAAGCTTCAACTGATCCACATAAAAATCATTACGTGTTTACATGGTATCTTCCATTTAAATTTGTGTTTAATGTTTCAACTTTCATATCTTGCACGTGTCTAAATTGTTTTTGAAATTTAATTTTATTACATATTTCTCATTTAATATTCTAAACTTACTATTATATTAATTATAGTCGAAAATCAATTAAAATCACAAAACTTTTGCACATAAAATTTAATTTCAAACATCCTACAAGCACAATTCACCCTCCCCTCTCATAAACTTAATTGGTTGTCACCAATAGCATCACCATCATTTTGATTAGCTCAACCATTGCCACCACCATAGGGGTTGTGCTACCACCACCTCTAGGTAGGTCGTAACTCTCACCACCATAGCCATCACTCTTTATTTAATATCTATTTTGTTAAGATCAACATTAATTGTAGCTTACCATCATAATTATTAAGCAAGTCATGATCCTCGTCACATAGCCAACGCTCTTGAACTAACAATTATTCCTTCAAATTGCAGGACGATATGGAGTGAGGTTGGCAAACTGAGCCAACAATTTGATTCGGAGTTGAACCGAATTTGACCTATCCGAATAAGTGTAACGCAAACCCAGCTCATTTATTAAACAAATAAAAAATCTTAACCCGAACCGAGCCAGTCTTCAACCAGATTGAACCGAACATGATCTGAATGACTCATTTGGACATGCATTTCAAATCAAAGTGAGGTCAAGTTTAGATTAAATTCGGATTTATAAGTCAATATCAGATTTGCAGGCCAATCTCTGATTGAAAGTCAAAATCAAGTCAATTTTGGGTTTGCAGAAAACCCAAACCAAACACAAACATTTAATCAATTACAAATTAAGACCCAAGTCTGACCATGAAGTTGATCATATCATATTGAAATCAATTTTTTTTCAAGTCAAGTCCAAGTTGACTTGGGGTATCAGTTCAATTATTGACACCCCTAATTAAGACAAAAAAATTCATTAAGATTTCCCAAAATGTATGATGAATTACGCTAATTAGCCAACTCTTTTATTCTTTCATATTAAATCTCATCCAAGCCATAATGAGATTGTAATTGGGAAGTGTTTAAAAAAATAATACCAAAATTATTTATGTCCAAGTTAAATAATATATGGCCAATTATATTATTCTATACCAAAGAGATATTGATATTCAACATATGATGGCAAAGATGTATACAAAGTACCCAAAATAAATGATCGTAGCAAACTAAAATTTGACCGGCAGGTACCTTCGAGGGAGGGGTCCAACGTCGCCCTTCGTGTCGTAACGAGGTCATCGCCCCGCAAATGATCGAAGCTGCGGCGAGGAAGAGTCAGCCAGGTCGTCAGCGACAGGAGCGCAGAAGGTAGCAAGGTGCTGCGAGGCTGCAGGCCAAAAAGGCATGGAACGGAGCACAAGGTACTGTCGGCACTGGAGGAGGCGCAAATGATCCCGCTAATCGCTTGAGAGGGACTAAGGCCGGCGGGATCTAGACACCAGCTTCTAGACAGGCCGGCGGAATGTCAGTGGCGGGGACCGAAGGAGGAAGCGCCGCCAAAGTGGGAGAGAGATTCCATGCGAGCTCTCTCTCTCTCGGGTAGGAGCCTCGGCTGGGGAAGAAGACACGGCCAGGAGCGTCGGGAAAGGGGCGTTTGACAGCGAAGTACGTCGGATGGCGGACTTCAGGCGCGCCGGCGAGGCTCGGGCGAAGGTCGCGAGATCGAAGCTTGCGGTTTTCTCGAGGCATAAGAGATGGAGGCCGGGAGGGTGGTGGCGTTCGCCGCGTATCGGAGACGAGAAAGTTCGCCGAGCCTAGGGTTTTTTTGCGAAGCAGAAGGTCGGCGGCGGATCTGCCTGCGATCGAACGATAGGAGAGGGGATTCCCTGGTGAGTTTAGGTTTTAAATAGGATTTTCTTTTTTTTATTTTTAATTTTTATTACTTGTTATTTGAAAATCTCGATTTGCAGTATATGTGTCCTTTCAAAGTAAAATTGAAGTTTCAGACGGGCTCTCGCGATTCGTTTCGCCATCACGAGTCATTCTGACAAACTCATCGCTGATCGAGCCAAAAATTAAATCAACAACAACCGAAGTAATTGTGTCTATATTAGTCTACTCTTCTTCAAAATTAGAGAAGATGAAGTTATAATATCCATATACAGTGAAAGTTCAACAATAATAGCTATAACATAACGTCAAGGTCGAAGTCGATGGCTATGAATGTAGTACCCCACCATCAATGTTGTAGAACAAACTTGTTGTAAAGGTTGTAATTGAATGTCGTAGTAATAGTTAGTTATGTGCATACATAAGTCATAGATGGTTGTTTCGGGAGTCTTCGTTGAACATAAAGGTCGTAGTAAAATGTTGTGCGAGTCGTGAGTCATGTTGGTCGTAGTGATAAATTGTGATGACGTTCATAGGCAACGGAGGTTGGAGTTGGAAGTCACATGGGTTGGGACCACATATAGGGGTGTAAACGAGCCGGGAACAAGCGAGCCCAGGCTCAGCTCATGTTCGGCTCGTTTATATTTCGAGCTCAAAAAGTGTGTTCGTGTTTGGCTCGTTAAACGCTTAACAAGACGAACGAGCCGAACACGAAACATTCATGAACAAAGAGTCGTTTTGACAACCCTAATTGTGTAGCCATAAAATATTAAAAATTTGGGCAAGATTTAAATTTTTTTTATATTAAAACATCATTTAAATCTAATTTAATAATTTTTATTTTATTTTATTAATTAATACTTTTAATTGATTATAAATCTTTGTAGCGTTCTAGTCAATTAAATTATTTAAAAATACTACTCATCAAATATATATATATATATAAAATACTACTCATCAAAGATATATATATATATATAATTGATTAGTAGTATTTCGAGTCAAAACGAGCCGAACATGAACGAACAAAACTTTGTTCGTGTTCGGCTCGTTAACTTAGCGAACGAGCCTAACACGGGCTTCTTAACGAGTCGAACACGAGCTGTTCGCGAAAAATGAGCCGTATTGACAGCCCTAACCACATAGGTTGTAGTTGGTCACTTATGTCATAGTGGTAAGTTGCAATGACATTCGTAGGACACATGCGCCAGACCGGGAGCAGCACAAGCTATAATCCATGTAGAACATAATTGGTCACATAAGTCATAATGATAAGTTGTGATGACATCTGCAGACTGTAGATATCAGAGTCAGAAGTTCCACGAGCCATGAGCCATGTATGTCATAATTAATCGCGTATGTCGTAGTGGTGAGTTGCGACGATATCTGTAAGCTGCAAAGATCAGAGTCGAGAGCTACATAAGTTGTGAGCCACATAGGTTATAGCTAGTCACGTAAGCTATGATGGTGAATTGAGATGACATCTGAAAGATACAAGGGTCGGAGTTGAGAGTTGCAAGAGTTGTGAGTCATGTAGACCAAAGTTGGTCACGTATGTCGTAGTTCTAAGATGTGACGACGTACGTAGGCCATTTAGGCTAGAGATGAAAGGTATAATAATGTTCGTAGGCTGCGGAGGCTGGAGTTTGAGTTGTGTGAGTTGTGAGCCATGTAGATCGTACTTGTGAGCTATGATGACATTCACAGGCCATCGAGCCTGGAGTCAAGAACTATAATAACATTCCGCAGAGGCTGGTGTTGAGAATTGTCGAGTCATGAGTCATGTAGACCATAGTGGTGAGTTGTGATGACATTTGCAAATTACAAGAGTCAAAATCGAGAGTCACGTGATTTGTGAATCACATGAGTCACGGTTGGTCACGCAGATCATAGTGGTTAGCTGTAATAACATCTATAAGCCATAGAGGTTGGAAACTGTGTGAGGTTTGAGTCACGTAGGCCATAGTTGGTCATGTAGGCTATATTGTTGAGTTGCAATGACATCCATAGGTCGTAAGGGCCAGAGTCGGGAACTACACGGGCTATAAATTATATAGATCGTAGTTGGTCACATATATCATGGTGAAAAGTTACATAGTACTCGGGGTACATCGTAACAGCGTCTTCGGGGTGCATTGCAACACTGTCTTCGTGGTGACATCGTTGGACCTTCTTCGGGGCGTGTCACTATATCGCTCGGTGTTTCACGACCTTGCAATGTATGTCGAGATTCCAAGGCTCGTGTCTTGATTATGTTGGAAGTTTCATTGCAAAAAGCGGGCAACGAGCGATCGTGATCGATGACGTTCGCGGAGCGCTGGTCAACGATGGCAAACGAGTGATGGTCGACGATGATTGGTGGTTGTAGAAGCTAGAAGCGTTCGTCAAATCTTCGACGCATAACATACACTAGCTTCAGCTCCTTCTCTCAGTCATTCTTTAGGCCCAAAACTCGGTCCATCTCCTATCTTAAGGAAAGGGCAGGGCTCTATTTATAAAATATAGGGGGGAAATCCCTACAAAGAAGGAATGAATCCATACTCCTCAATGAGAAGCCCTGGAGAGGTTCCATCGATCCGACAACATTCTATGAGATGATGTTATAATTGAATGATATAGGGCTCGCTGGGTTTGTCTCATCGAAACGCTCAATTTAACCATAATCTTGTTAGATTTTGGAATATGTTTGACATCTCAATTGGTCCTCAAAAGCTTCAAATATTGTTCAGCGACTTGATTTGACTCAGTTTGGGTCAAAGTTAGCGTCATTGTATTCTTCTCACCGATATGGTGAGCTTCATTGTAACTTTGTTGATTTTTTGATGCTTTTTAGTTGAAATTAAAACATTTCTCTGTAACTTTGTTGAAATCAGAGTTTTTGATGCTTTTTAGTTGAAATTAAAACATTTCTAGCTCAAAATATTACTTCGAGATTCATACCAAGCCTCGAGATCTATGTTAAATGATGAAAAATTGTTAATGACGTATCAATTGCCCTCCTCTTTTTGGGTGGTACTAATTTTATCTAGAAAAAATACTAAATTCTAGAATATATATATATATTGAATATCAGAAGACTCTCAAGAATGAAGAGGAGGAGCACAAGAATGAAACATATGACTAGCAAATCTTTGTAAGGACTTGCACGACTATAGAATATCATAAAAGAAGTTGATGTGACAGACTCTTCTTATAATCAATGAAATTTTTAATTGAAATTAAAACATCTCTAGCTCAAAATATTTCCTCGAGATTCATGTCACGCCTCGAGATCTATGTTAAATGATGAAAATTTGTTAACGACTTATCAATTGCCCTCCTCTTTTTGTGTGATAGTAATTTTACCAGAAAAAAATAGTAAATTCTAGAATATATATATTGAATATCAGCAAACTCTCAAGAATGAAGAGGAGGAGCACAAAAATGAAACATATGACTCGCAAATCTCTGTAAGGACTTGCATAGCTATCGAATATCACAAAAGAAGTTTATGTGACAAACTCTTCTTATAATCAATGAAATTAATTATATCGTCACTAATATTATTTGTTTTTTGTGAAAATATTACGATATAATGACGGACATTGTAAATGCCCATGTGATACTTTTTTCAAAATAATTTGATAGTTATTGTCTAACAATCCTAAAGAACCAACACCATCACAACTACTACAACATGGAAGCCTTGAACTCCTCATATTCTATTACACCATTCTTTATGAATATGTATCTCCTAGTGACTAAAACGATTCACACCATCTATAACGACATGCGCTTTTGCTCAGGGTATCTCGACATGGTGAAATATTCTTATCTCCCATTTGGGTCATAACAAAAGAATGAGTCGCTTCAGCCACCTAAAAAAATAAAAAAACAACAATTCACAATAACTCAAGAGTATTCACAACTACTCCTAGTAGACGTAGCTTCCGAGCCACAAGAGGAAGGAGTGTATGAGCTCAGCAGTGAACTTTGTTACTACTCTTCAAGGTATAACCAATAAATTGTATTGGTAGTGGAAAATACCATTTGGATTGAATATGAATAAATATGTCCCAGAACAAACATGACATAGCAGAATGCTTGTCGTGATCCTCTCATATTTCTAGTAATGCATATCGTTGACTCTCATTCTCTCATTATTCTCATAATATATTGTCGAAGAGCTATTAGAATTGAGAATCTAAATGTATATCAAAAAATGTGTTTCTTTAAGCAATAAAGAAGCCAAAATACTAAATAAGGGCCGTTCGGGGCAGCTTATAAGTGCGGCCACATTTTAGCGGGTCCGCCGAAAGCCAGGGAAAGGCATTTGAAGCCGTTCGTTGCTCTTTGTCGCTGAAAGCCAGGTTCCCCTTCCTACACATCTTCCTTCGCTCTCCTACGTGCGCCCTCCGTCCTCGAACCTTTGCTCTCCTTCGCCGAAAGGCATTCAAAGCCGTTCGTTGCTCTCCGTCACCGAAAGCCAAGCCCCCCTTCCTACACATCCTCCTTCTCTCTCCTCCGGGCGCCCTCCGTTCTCCTCTGCCGAAAGCTAGGTATTTTCTCATCCGTCGCATTTAACAGTGTTGAAAAAGAAGATTCTGATATTGTTTTAGAAATTAGGTTATTGCTTGTGAGCTCGTAAAGCTTGTCTTTTTGTGGTTACATAAATCTAGGAAGAAAATTATAAAGATATGAATATGAATATATGTAAAGCTTGTCTTTTTGTGGTTACATAAATCATTGTTCACAAGTTTACTTCAGTCCTGTTCTACTGATTTTACCTCTCTTATTTCATGTTTTTGTCCGTTGCCGCTCCCTGCTTTTGTTTCATGCGTTTGTTCATTCACTGCTGCTAGGAAGAAAATTATAAAGATATGAATATGAATATCCATATCTTTGGCAAGGAAGGAAATAACAATTTTTAAGTTAGTATGTTGTTTGATATCTGTGTAGTAACTGATTTCAACAATTTATTATTTACTAAATTTTTTCGAGATTGATTTATAATTTCCATTGTTCATTTATGTTGGATGTTTATGGCTCCTTTTGGGGTAATTGTGTTTTTTTTTAAAGATTTTTGCTTATCTTTGATGATTGGTGTTTGGTATTTCCTCCTCATTGCAGGGAACTATTACAAATTCTTCTACATGCCCCATTTGATTGCTTCTAAACAGGAAACATAATTTTGCATTCTATTTGGTTGGATGGAAATGAAGTGGCTTATTTCTTTTTTTTGTTGGTTGCCACTGAGATGATTTATAGATATGATTGAGAAAATAAATTCATATGCATTATGAGTTGGGCAAGCACTTGGGATGGGTTGTTTTATTATCGTATTTTGTAGCAGTTTGAACATTTTTCTACCTGATATTATGTTTTCTGTTGCTAGAATTTGTTTTTGTAAATAGCAATTTTTAGGTGGTATGTATGTGTGAATGAGTCTGAAGTGAGTTAATTGGTTCTAAAATAGCTGAGGGGTAGACATTACAACTTTTGTGTGTCAATTTTTTCATTTAACTTAAAAAATCTGCAAATAAGCAGTTTACAAAGCGCACAAACCAAACATTTAAAGAACTTATCCAAAAAAGGAGCAGATTGGTCATTTATCCAGAATCAGCTGTTTTCCAAACGCACAAACCAAATAGTCAGTCAGCTTATCCGGATCAGCTGATCATCAGCTGATCATCAGGATAAACTGCTTATCAACATAAGCTGGATAAGCTGCAGCTGCCCCAAACAGACCCTAAGTCTCATGAGGCTAATGGATCTAGACGACATATGATAAAGTCAATTGTACTCGTTAGTCATACATTTGAAGGTGACAAACAACATAATTTCTTGCGACTTAAAAGGACCCCACATGTATCTTCCAAAGTTTGTTAGCATTTATGCGAGTTCCTCCGACCAGGCTAGCTCATCAAGCTGAGCTCGATCATATTTTCTGGCTTCTTATAAGCTCGCTTGTACTAGTCAAATCATCCCATCAAGCTCGCTGATAACTACATAATTGTATCATGAAGCTTAGTCAACTATTCTTCGAGGCAGAAGAGAAAACTCCAGTCCATCATCAAGTTTGTGATCATTTATCGGCCGCCTGACTCCCATATCAAAGATATTGTCAACAAAAAGTCTACTCAGGCTCTGTATCGTATACCTTGTAACGTAGTTTTTTAGTATATTCTTTAGGCCGCATAGACTCATTGTTGTAAAAATAAGAAGTAAAAGGGGAGAAGAATAAAAAAAGTTTTGACTCTAGCTCTCTCTCTAACTCTCATTGTATCTCTAAAAATCTCTCGGCTTCTTTTCACCTCTTTCATAAGGTCTCTTCTAGATTGCATGAGTTCACGGATTATTCAGAATCATACATCATAAAAGGATTCAACAGAAAATAAAGCATTTTTTTTACAATAAATGTAAAAAATGTAATATGTTTATCTTTCTTATGAATTTTAATTTGATTAATCGATTTTAATCAACCACTCCAAAATAATGTCAATGTATTTTAATATTTTTTTAAATGTCGATGTTGTTTTTAAACCGGGATGGAAAAGAGTCAAGAAAATTATTGAAAAAAATTATTTTGGGCCCTCGTTTGAAAATTTATTGGCTCTGCCACAAGGATCGGCATGATTACGATTAGGGGAGCATAGACCCCTTAGGACATGTACAACTTTTATAGTAGCTCTCGAGCCTTTGGTTATTTGAGTGTCTACACCAACTCTTATATTTGGAGTCATTATAAACAATTAAAATTGGAACAAAATCAAAATATACTAGATAACCATTTAACTATTGTTAGAAGACTTCTTTTTATAGTACTTAGAAGACAAATGATATTAAACATGAAGATAAGCTTTGATACCACCCAAATTCTCATCCATTGAGATATTATCTTTGAGTTATTATAAACAATTAAAATTGAAACAAAGTCAAAATATACTAGATAAACATTTAAGTATTATTAGAGGTAGGAAGACAATTGATATTAAACATGAAGATAGACTCTGATACTACTCAAATTCTCATCCATTGAGATATTATCTACTTCGACCTAGTGGCCTCACCATTTTGTCATATTAATGCAACTTCCTAGAAGGTCACCTATCCCAAGAGTGCTCCAACATGAGCAAGCTTAACTTCAAAGTTTATGCTCCAAATGTTACACTAAAAGATGTCTTGATCTTTTTAAGTTCAACTTCATTTTATTTAAGGGATTTCACACCAATAACATCGATGAATACAAAAGCAAATAATGTTCAGGGCAATATCATCGTTGCACCGGCAACACGCTCACTCTCATTGACGATAAGACATCACACTTACGACAAGCAGGCCATCAGCAGCCTCAAGCTTCTGCAAATGACAGATCTAAATGGTGTATTGAGTCTCTTCTTCAACATCTCTCTGCTGCAGGAGTAGCTGCAACTTTTTCTTGCCAAAACATTTCACTTCTCCGACTCCACAGCCTTCATTCTAAAATGCTTTTATCGAATTTGTTATCAATGTGGCTTTGATACCAAGTGATAGAATTTGTGTCTAACATATTCAATAACTATTGAACCACAAAACTTTTACGTTAGGTGCAATCTTGGCATCATACAACACACCTTTACATCTTATGTAAGAGAGAAGTGAATTAAACATCGGTAAAGAATGTAAATACAATTTTATTTTTTAAAAAACTAAACTAATGATATTTTTATGTAATATGAAAGATCTGTAGTATAAATATAAAAATAAAAGTATGTTGTTTTCGATATGTAAACATATAGATATTGATAGTTATGTATTTTAATGCCCGAACTTAATATAATTTGAAAGATTACATGGTTCTACAATACTAATAGATCGAATACAACAAAATATACAAAATAAAAGACTAAAATTAAAAAAATGAAAGATCTAGCCATCCAAAGGTCACTTACATAAACATTATTATACATACATGCCACACAAATTTTATTCATCTATGTATCTAATTCTTAAAACTCTCATATTTGCATTTATAACATCAAAATGTTATAAATGCAAATATTATAAAAATTGTGTGGTACAACTGCAAATTTTCCTAAAAAATAATGAATGGGCAAAATTGTAAAAAATGTGCAGCAAAAGCCAATTATAGATGCCAATGAGCAAGTAACAAATTAATATCACATCTGGGCAGAAGAACATTACATTACAATCATTTAATAACTCATTTTCCAAAATACATTTTGTAAGCACGTGAAATCAAATGAAACCACATGCCTCCAAAATAAAATCAATCGTTGCAAATTGTGAAAGATTGCTGTTGAATGGCCTTCAGCTGCTGCAGGTGTGAAATGCTAGCAGAAAATAGCAGCAGAGGCTCAAAAACCAAGAATTCTTTCATGGCCTGAAAATTAGATCTTTTAAAGATTTCATTGGTGAGTTGTGCGCATAAGCAACTGAATCCCTCCAAAAAGTCCATCCTAATTGAAATTTATAAAAAAAATTTGGGAATTAGTATTAGTATGTTATTTAAAGTTTTGGGCATTTTGCACACATACCACACAATTCTTATGTATTTACATATCAAACACCCAAACATTCTTATTTACAAACATACCACTCGAATCTTTAACATCACATGAAAAATATCACGGTCGCTAACTTTTTAAAAGTGAAATACACTTGTTCACGCATAAGTTTATGAAACCAATGGGGTAAAAATGTAAATATCAAACTTTGGGTGTCGGTTAGGTATAGAAATGTGTTATATACGTAAATTTCTCGTATGGATAATTACATACAAACCACCAAAAATATTGATATTTATAAATTAACCATTGAGGGAATATTGAGAATTTGATAAAAATGAAAAACAAAGGTTCGGGTCTTAGCATGAATTTGATATTTGAGGGAATATGAAAAATGCATGAAAGAGGGTGGTTGATTTGTAAATAGCAAGTTTTGATAAAAAAGATAATCTAATAATCTCAACTGGATTTAGTTTATTGTCCGATAAGGTTGTAAACGAGCCCAGCGTGCTCAGGCTCGGCTCGTGTTCGGCTCGTTTGAAATTGTTTGTGTTAAACCGGCTCGTGTTTGAAACCGGCTCGTGAACAGTGTGTTCGTGTTCGGCTCGAAATTGTCTCGTTAAACTCAAAAAATATATGTAGAGTGATGGATTCGAACATGGATCAAATATATGCAAAATGAGGCACATAACCCACATTACCACAAGAGCAGTTACGGTTTAAACATAAATATAAATATATATAATATATATTATAATATAAATAATATGTGTAATATATTATTATATAAATAATTATATAATTTTTTTTTATTTCGAGCTACAACGAGTCGAACACGAGCGAACAAAGAATTGTTCGTGTTCGGCTCGTTTATAATTCGAGCTTTAAGAACTTGTTCGTGTTCGGCTCGTTTACTTAACGAACGAGCCGAACATGAGTTGTTCACGAACAATGAGCTTTTTTGACAACCCTACTGTCCCCGCTAGGCACTGGAAGTGTGGAAGTAAATATTAAAATTTGGATGCTAGATGTGTACATACATAAGAATTGTGAGGTATGTATGATCTAAATATAGCATTTAAAATGTAAAGGGGTAGACAACAAGACCTAGCCAAGCAAAGTAGCCAAGAGTTGAAGCCAGAAAAAATGTCCTGCTAATGCTGTTAAATCTGGGTTGGGAAGTTGAGAGCAGAAAAAGGAATCAGAATCAAGTTAGAAAATTCATCCAAAATGCCAACAAATGAAGCATATACAAAACCTTACATGAACATGCAGAGCAGATTTCCCCACCCCTGCAGAAAGGACCCCCAAGATGAACCAGTGAACCTGCAGTTATATTTATATGTCCACAAGATAGAAATATCTATGGTCTGATCAAAATCAATATATCCTAAAGCTAAGAATGAGGTAAATAAAATGCCAACATAAGGTGTAATGAATAATATATTTTTTCCTTCTTTTTTTTTAGTGTTTATATACATATCATACAATTTTACTATGTATTTACACATTAAAATATTCATATTTACATGCAAACCACTCAAAACTTTATCATCACATCAAAAACAACAACACTACCTTTGTTAAAAGTGAAATACACATTTGTATATATCAATATATGCATATACATATGCATGCGTATATATATACTAAAGCAAACACAAGGTATATATCAATATATGTGTATACATATGCATATGTATATATATACTAAAGCAAACTTAAGGTATAATGACAAAAATTATTTGCATTCATGTGTGTGTGTGTGTGTTTATATGTACGTATAGATATATATCTATATCTATATGTGTGTGTAAATATATGTGTTTGCGTGTACACATATGTACATTGATACATATGCAATTGCATGCATGCAGATACATGAAGGGGTGTCGGTCAACTTTTTCTCGATTACAAATTTCTAGAGGTTTGCTAGTGATCACTTTTGTTTTTTATATTTTATTTCTTTTCGGCTTTCATTCTAAAAACATATTTGTTCCGTGCATATTTTGCATGTTTTTTTGGACATTTATATACATGTCATACGATTCTTATGTATATACACATTTAAAACATAAACCTTCATATTTACATGCAAACCACTCAAATGGTTATCATCATATCAAAAACACAACTATCACTAACTTTGTTAAAAGTAAAATACACATTTAAATGCATAGGTTTATGACACCATCACTGCCTTTACCTACTTAACCTAAATCTTACGTGCACCCAAACACCCCCAAAGTCTAGAAATTTCATATTCTTAATATTCTATCTTCTTTTGTGTGAAAAGAAATACTGTACTAATGACACTACATTTAAGAGAAATTAGATCGATGGAAATCAAGAAAGGAGGAAAGATTAAATACCACATTAAATCACGGATGAATAGAGCACGTGGAACCAATAGGCCATTTCCAAGCATTGCAAGCAACATTGAGAAAGCTGATAAGCCTCTGATGTTTTCCGGATTCAGATAGTTGGTCCACTGAGCATGATAAAATTTAGTTTAAAGGGCTATTTGGTAACAGATTTAAGTCAGATCTAACTTAAAATCTTGCCAAGAGACAAATTTTAAATCCTAGATTTAGTAAATCCTATTTCTTGTCAATTTCTTCTCAGTTTTGCCTTAAATCCCCAATTTACTAAATTCTGGTGCTGGCAGGATTCAATAAATCTGGATTTACATGATTTATTAACTCCGCTAAATCTGCTACCAAATAGCCCCTAAGAGTTGAATATACCAAGTACACTCTTGAGTATACATGAACAATTAGAATCAAGTATGCTAACCATTTGTGCGACAGGCATCCACATGAAGAGCAGAGTAGCAGTCCAGCCAGATGTTGACCTTACAAATTTTGTTCCTTTATCAGATAGTTTTCCAGCACGTGCCTGCAGATCATAGGTCCAACACGTTAAAAAAAACAAAAAAGAAAATTTCCAAACGGTAAAAGGCTAAAAGTACCATATCTGTTGACTAAAAGTATATTTAGAGCTAATGACAACTATTCTTTCAAATTTAATATCTAATTCCATAAGATGTCACCATTGAGAAGAATCAATTAACAGTTTTTTTAAAAAAAGGAAGATTTATATTTCATACCAGTTATTTACTATGTATTTACATATTTAAAACCTAAAAGTCAAGCATGTCACCTTACCTATGCATGATGAGGTCTATTTCATTTTCTAAAAGTTAAAGAAAGTGATATTTTAGATGTGATATGAAAGATTCGAATGGTATGACTGTAAAAAGCAAAGTTTAGGTGTTACATATGTAAATACATAAGAATTGGATGGTATGGATGGTAGGATGGTATGTATGTAAATGCCCCTAATATGAATTGTAAGTTTACTGCTAGTTCACTTAAACATGCAGTTGCTTAAACAATACAAGTTTTGCAATAAAAAACAAACACTGAAAATCACTAGGAAGAACACTAACCCTGCGATAGAAAAAGCAAGCTAGACCGAGCTCTTCATTATTTTTCAGGGATAAAAGGATACTAAATTGCTTTCAATTTTGAAAGTTATTGTTTTTGAATGGATTTAAGAGTATTTTTGAGTAGTTTTATTTTCAGTTCTTTGTAGGATGAATAAGAGGAGGTTCCACACAAAAAAAATAAGAACTTGTTGCTTTTGAATGGATTTAGCGGCATATGTTGAGAGTAACATATGATCAACAAAGGATCCTCAGTTCATTTAGCTTAAAAGATATATGAAGCATTGTGAATTGGTTAAAAAGTCAGCTTTTCATTTAAAGGTTTTTGGATGTCTATTCGATGTGCACAGATATTTTCTTCTTCCTTGCATTATTGATCGCCAATAAAGGCTGGTAAACCACAAAAAGTAAAGCACAATAAATACCTTATAACGTGTGAGCTACGAAAGGATTGAAATGTAATTTGGGACAAACAGAATTTGAAGATCAGATAGAAATGTGGTGGAAAAGTAAAGGTTGTTGTAAATGAATCTGAAAATTTTACAATTAATAAAATAGATTAAAGTAGTGCAAAATCTCAGTCAAAACCCACATATGATTAAAGGGGGGATTTCCATACATAAATATAACTTTTTCAAGATGGCATAAAAAAATTTAGCATCCAAATAAGATAACTGCTACATAACCACTGATTTCAAAGTGAAAATAAATCCCATATATATATATATATATATATATCTCTGTGTGTGTGTGTGTGATTTCCTAATATAACATTATTTCCTTTCTTATTTTAGATTTATTTTCTTGGCTTAGATTTATTTCATTTCCTATTTTATGTTGTTTCCTTTATCTCCAATTAATCAAATATGAATTGATTAATTGGAGATATTAGGTGTTATATCTTTTATTTCCTAGTATATATATATTTTTTTTGTCTTTCCTATTCTAGGATTCATGTAAGGGTCATTTATAACCCCTTAATATCAATGAAAATTCTGGTTTTTTCTTCATTATTCGGACTTTTAATATGGTATCAGAGCCTTGAAACAAATCCTAGAGTCTCCTGCCGCTGAAAACTTCCTATTTCATGCAACCGACAACCATTGTCGTGTTGCAAACCCTTCTTCCGCCTCCCCTTTCTAGTTTTCCCATTGGAAACTTCCTTACCCTGTAAGCCCCGTCACTGGAATTTCCTCCTGCAACCTTTCTCGTCGCCGAAATTCTCTCCTGCAACGTTTCCCGCCGCCGAAATTCTCTCCTACTACAGCCTTTCAAGCTAACGGTCTCTCTCATGTCGGCCAACTCTCCTCCTTGCAGAGACCCTTCTCCTTTTAGATCTATTAACAAGCCTCCCATGTCAATCAGGAAGGACGGAAATCAGACAGCTAAATTAGTTTTTTATAATTAGAAGCTTCCTTATTTAAATTATTTCTAATATATTCATTCTGATTTATTTCCCTTTTAGATTAATATTTAGATTAAGAATATGTATTATTAAGTTACCTAAAATAGATTATACAAAATATTTTGTAGCTAAAATAGATTGTAATATTATTATTTAATGGAATGAAAGCAAAGAGAAAATACATCGAGCCTATTCAGAATTCAACCTATTTTTTTCAAAACTTTGAGATGGTATCAGAGCCAAATTATTATCTTAACCACCGATAATCATTGGAGGACCGTCAAGACTCTCTTCACACTGGCATTCTTGCGGGACGGGAAGGGAAGAACTATTTGATTCTCGCTCGGCTGCTTTGTCCAAAACTCTCATCTGCTTCGACTACGCCGCTCGACTGCTTCGGCAAGTTCGTCTGGACTGTTCGTCTGTTTGTTTGGGCCTCGAGAGGCGACCGTGGTTGGTTGTGTAAGCTTTGGGCTCCAGGTAGTCACCTCAGGAGAGAACCTTTGGTGCAATTTATGTGTCTCTGACTTTGATATCTCATCGCCTGAGGATCCCTCTGCAAACCCTTCCTTGCCTAATTATATCTTCATTATTCCTTTTCCCGCTGCTACCGCTGCCACGGCAAGTCGCAGTGACCTCCGATGCTCTCCCGCGACGAAGACATTGAATCTGGCGTCGCCGTTCAGTGGCCTTCCGGTTTGCTATCAAGCTTAGGGCGGCATTGGGAATAGCGGCGACAATCTCTCCAAAACTATGAGCAATTTCGCTTACATGCATTGCCCTAATTACCGCAGCCCTCTTTTCGACTTCTCTCTACCTGAAGATCTCTTCCAGAAAGACAATCATATGTCGGAGTTCTATGATTCCTTGTTAGGAGATAACCTTATTTGGGGAGAAAATGAATGGTCTCTCAGGCACCAGGCAAAATTTAGTGAACCAAAAGAAGATCTTCTTAGCGAGTTCTATGAGAATTATTTTGCACCTCAACATTACGGGTATGATGAACACCATAAACTTGATTTCACTGGCACTCACGGCTTCAGCATCTTAGCTTCAACACTTTTGGTGTGAAAATCAGGGAACAAATCGTCCTCATCGTCGTAGGAAGAATCAATAGCATTTGGATCATATAATAGGACGCAGATCCTACCTGTAGGTTATGATCAATAGCATTTGGACCATGTAACTGGATCCTATTTGTGGGCTATGTAGTGTAGCGTTTGGATCAGGACGTGGATCCTACTTGTAGGCTATGATCGATAGCATCTAGATTGTGTAACTGAAATCAGATCCTTCTTGTGGCTATGATTTGAATTTTTGGGCGACAATGATAAATGATTTCTTGCTTTTCTTTGCTCGAATCATATATGGTTCATGAGTTCTCCCTGAGGCTTCAATATTCTCGGCTTCGACACTCTTAGGCTTCGACACTCTAAGACTTCGACGCTCTAAGGCTCAACATTCTCGGCTTAGGCGCTTTCGGCTTCGGCACTCATGGCTTGAGAAATTTTGGTCCCGATAGTGTTATCAGTTTTTTGTTGGCAAATTGATGCTTCCTGATCAGTCAACATCAATTTGAGGGGGATGTCAATCAGGAATGACGAAAATCAGACAGCTAAATTAGAAATTTTCTATAATTAGGAGCTTCCTTATTTAAATTATTTCTAATATCTTTATTCTGATTTATTTCTCTTTTAAATGAATATTTAGATTAGGAATATGTATTGATATTAGACATAGTTAACATACAAATAGGAAATAAAATAATATAAAATATTTTGTACCTAAAATAGATTGTAAGATTATTATTTAATGGAATGAAAGCAAAGGGAAAATGCATCGAGTCTAATCAGAATTCAGTCTATTTTTTCAAAACTTTGACATCCCGGTGAGATCTAACTCCCATGAAACCTCGCCTGCAGGCCTCCTTGCCCATATGAAGATTCCTTCAGTTCCCATACTCCCTGTAGTATACCCTCAAGTCCTGTAGTATACCCTCCTCAAGAGTTTTTCCTCTACCAGGCCTCCTCCAAACCCTGTAGTATACCCTCAAGAGTTTTTCCTCTACCAGGCCTCCTCCAAAACAGACTTTTCTCTGAAGCTTTTTCTACAACAGACCCTCCTTCGAAGCTTTTTCTGCATCTCCTCTAGAGCTTTTTCTTGCAAAAGTCTCTCCTCCTGAATCTTTTCTGCAACAAGCCTTTCTCCGGAACTTTTCCAGCAGCATGCCCTTCTCTGGAGCTTTTCTTGCTACAGACTTACCTTTGGATCCTTTTCCGCAACAAGGTCTACTTCCGTAGTTTTTTCTTTATTTTTCTATGGGCCATACCCTGCAGGTTCTCCTGTTGGTCGTCTACTTCCCTTTAAACTCCCCTACTGCATTACCTGTAGGAGTCTTCAGCCTACCTACAGACACTACAGTCAAAGATAACCACAGTAACTAGAAGTCAGTTTTTCCTACAGGTTGTCTAATCATTCCCTGCAAACTCCTCTGTAGCATACTTGTAAAAGTCTTCTACCTACCTACAGACACTATGTGAACTGCAATCAAAGACCACAGTCAACTAGAAGTTAGTTTTTCTTGCAGGTTGTCTACTTCTCTGCAGACTCCCTTACAACATTACCTGTAAGAGTCTTCCGTCTACCTAGAGATATTACAGGAACTGCAATCAATAAAAATTGCAGTATGGGGAAGATTTCCAAGTTCACCGTCACAGAATATTCCTCGTCCATTGTTTTATGTTTTCAAATCCAAATAAAACATGATTTTCAGCCATTTTTCGACTTGAGGGGGAGTGTTAGAACTTATAATAATAAATAAATTATTGATATTATAAGTTATGAGAATTAAATTTATTTCCTAATATAACTTTATTTTCTTTCTTATTTTTGGTTTATTTTCTTGGATCAGATATATTTTCTTCCTATTTTATGTTGTTTCATTTATCTTCAAATAGTTACTATGAATTGATTAATTGAAGATATTAGATGTTATATATTTCCTTTCCTATTATTTTTTTTAATTGTCTTTACTATTTTAGGTTTCATGAAAGTGTTATTTATAACCACTTTCATGTATGTATATATATATAGAGAGAGAGAGACACACACACACACACACATATATAATAGGAAATTGTGATTCTTTGTTAACTAAATCAAGACATATAAATCTCAAGTTTTATCCACCATCGATTGAGTACATATAAGAATTGCAAAATATGGGTTTGAGTAAATTGAGACTTGGGTCTCCCATGAGCCCTTTATTTAAGATTTTAAAGATAATGATAGCTCTCGTTATGAAACAGACAAGGATAGGTGAGTGCCTACTCCTACTAGTTGGCTGTTATCATAAGATGCATGGAATTAACTAGAAGCAGTGCTTTGGTGGTGTAGTCGATATAGGTTGGGCCAAGCGACAAACTTCTAAGTTCAAATTTTTTTGTCATTAAGGTCAGGTAGTATCATTCATATTTTAAAGAAGATCACCTTCTCAAATAAAAGTTTGTTAACTATGACAAGAACGACTGAGAATTTGCTAGTGAAGTGATTGATAATGTTAATGAAAATAGACATCATATCAGCTTCTAATCAGTGAAGCCAACTTAGAGGTCAACGGGAAAATTTAAGTTGATGTAGGTCAGCGAGGAGGTTTGTGTTAAATCAAGTGGGCTAACCAGCGACAGAGAAGAAGCCATGTGTAGCGAGTGTTTTTGTTTGAAAATAGAAAAACAAAGATGTATGAATGCATATATCTCAATATATTAATTTGCCTTGTTTTACCTTGGATACTATTTTATTACATTGACTCCTTTTGGGGTCTACTTAGAATTTGTCTTGCTATATTGGAAGAGAAGTGAAGGGACAAGAAGATGTGATTAAAAAGAATGTAGAGGACGAAAAGCAATAGAAAGATGAAAGAAAAATAAGACGAAAAAGATTTGAGAAAGAATGTGAGGATAACATCTTAACGAGCAAAAATATTTCTCATACACATACACATATTTGAACTAATATATATACATTTTTCAGTGCACACGTGGAAGTAAAGAAACTAACAAGCCATGTAAATCCTTGTGCACATTTTTCTAGTGTTTTTGTTATAGATTATGTTCATCTTTGTATAGTATTGCTTTCATGTGCAAGGTTTTTCCCAAAAATTTGAACCTGTTTTCTTAAGGATTCAGGCATCTTCAAGAAAAATACACTAAAGAAAATGGGAATGTTAGAGAAAAAGCATGCCCCGAGTTTGAATAAGTGTATAAAACATGATAATTTGAGCATGGATAGGTAGATGTTACCAAATAGTACTTGTTAGCACACCTATTGCATGGTAAGATTGTTTTTTTTGCCACCATAAGACAGCAGGGTGTTAATTAACCATGAATTGAACTGAATGAAGTTTTCTTAAAGAGTACAAGTAACAACTATTGTTGAGATGGAGCCCGGTCCACCCTCCCCGCTCCCGCACTCTGTTGCGATTTCTCCCGCCCCCTTCCCGTTTCACGAATCGGTGCCATCGCTCCCTCGATCGAGAGCAGTCGCGACTCCCGTTCGCCAGCACCCGCTCTCGCCTCTCCCTAACTGTTCCCGCCTCCAGTTTCACGATAAAAAGAGACGGTTATCGTTCAGAATATGAAGTCACGGTTGGTGTTCTTCTTCGGGCTTCCTCGAGATGAAGGAAAGTGCAAGCAATAGTTCCTTGCGGTGAAGGAAGAAGAAAGAAAGAAGAAGATTGTTCTCGCTTGACTTCTTTTTGGAGGCTTGTAGCTGAAAAGAAATTTTATTTATATCTCTTGTAAGTTTATCTTATTCAGTGTATCTCAATATAGAGAGAGAAAAAAAAAAAGACAGAAGAAGAAAAAACAATGAAGTGGGAGATTCCTCTTGTAAGTCGAGGTGATCGATTGATGTAAATTCCTCAAATAGTAAAATCCTTTGTAACTTCGTGGACATAAGCAATTTGTCGAACTACATAAATCTGTGTGTTCTTTTCTGGTGTGATTTTTCTTGTTCTATTTTTCGCTTCGTCGATCGTTCTTCTATTTGATTCCTATTTGATTTATATATATATCACATCAACTGTATGGTCTATAGTTCACAACAACTATCACATATCAGTAGCAGAATATAAATCGATTCAGGGCACATATGAAAGCTATATTAATAGAATAATGACTAAACGCCAACAAAAGATCACATATGAACAAATTAAGGATTAGAAAACCAAAGAGAAAATCAAACTGAAGCTAAAAATTTTATGGCCTGGACCTTTATCATTCATGAAATGGAGAGCACTCCTAATACCAATAAAGGTAACTAATTGTAGAACATACCAATACAACGGCGACAAGGGCCACTGCAAAGGAGATGATACCAGGCAACATGCTATTCGGAACGAAAGGAACAAATGTCGACCACATCACCTAAAGATCCATTTTAGATAAAAACAGTTCTGAGATTATCAGCACATTATACTTGAAAACCCTAAAAAATCCAACCAAACACAAAGCTGGCAGTAAATTGACCTGAGGGAGAACAGAGAGACCTCCAACTGTAATGAAATCTTCCCAGAGCATCCAAACCCTTTTATGAATCCAACCAAAGTAATTCAAAAAGTTAATGACCAGACCAGAAGCAACCACCACAGATGTCGCCGCGAACTGCAGCTGGGGCATGGCCTCAGCCATGGCAAGCTGCACGATGACGACGTAAGTCGACAAAACTCCTAGGGTTTGGACGATTACCGCCTCCGTCTCCCTTTTCTTAGCAAAGTAGGACAACAATGAAAGATTCCCCAACAAGCCCGTGAGCATCCCCTGTCGCATTTCGCAGATCCTTGAGAGAAATCCCTCGCATGATAGGAAGCACGATCTCAACAAGGTGATCTAACACTCACCAGCCAAGGGACGGCGAAGAGCGCGATCTTGTCTCCGGATAAGAGATTGCGATAGTTAAGAATGATTTGGGGGAGCTGGAGGAGAAGGAACGGGACATTAGCGGCTCCAGCAAACTTGGCAGTCAGAGAATCCCATTCTTGAAACTTGAATCCCTAGAATGCATCGAGATGAAAGAAGACCGGGAGAAGGGGATATGATGAGGTGCGGGTCTCGTTACCTTAGCTGAGGAGGCTGTCGAGCTCGATTCATTCGCCGATGCTAAGAGCAAAGGTGGTTTTCCAAAGATGAAGAGAGGGCGGCAGTGGAGAAAACTGTATAGGGTTCTTGAAGAAGCGGAAGTGAATATCGGACAGAGATGGGAGGTTCCATGGGGAGAGACTGGTGAGCTGCGTCGAAGAGCAGAGAATCTAAATGAGGATGTAGGCGGCTGCGGTGGCCGGAATCTGGAGAACGGCGGGAAGGGCGGCACCCCGGGCCACAAACCCTATATCGAAGGAGCTCTGCGGGGCTGTACAGCGGGGAAGGTGTGGAAATTGCGAGAGCGGGTGAGTCGCCAACTCGCCATGTTGCAATGGAAGTGTTGACTCGTCTGCACTCGCCGCGTGGCAGAGATCCTGGTAAAGATGAACACGTGGAGCATTACTGTGGCGCGGCGGCATAAGCACTCGTGGATTTTCGACCGTTGCTTGGAAGTAGGCCGTAAACGAAACAATGACATGAATAATCCGAATTTGGCTTGATTACAGTCTGATCATATTTATTCAAATTAATAAATAAATAAATTTAAATAATTTTTAAAATTTTGAAGTTAAAATGAATTAAATATGAGTATAATCGAACTTGTTCGTTTATGTTCACGAACAAATTTATTTGTTGTTCAATAAGTAATTTGTTAAATTCTTGCTATTAAGCTCTATGATAGCTCATATGATATATTATATATTATTTAAATAATATTTTATTAAATTGGATATTAACTCGTTTGTTGATAGTTCCATGATAGTTTATATCATATATAATTTAAAAATATTTGATACTAAGTTTCAACATGTTTTATAATTATCATTTTTAGTTATTTGGAAGGATTTAGATTAAATCATGCTTAAATGTTACATAAATTATTCTGCTAAACATCTCCTAAACGAGGGATTCAAGGCAAATGGAGGAGAAACGAGATTTAAGATATTATAGAGTTTAGAGTTTACAATCAATTAATTAATAGCT